ATGCAGGTGACCCGGGGGCAACTTGCCCAGGCTGCACGGCTGGGCGAGCCAAGTAGCCGACGCATCTTGTCAATGAGTACAATTACTGTCTGCTTGTACCCTGCCAGTGTTGATGAGTGGTGCAACTCATATATGTTGCTGTTAATAAGCACTGACCATGAGTTCAATTGTCCCCGTACCACCCCCCGTACCACCCCCACCGCCCTCTTTCAAGAAAAAGCACAGAAAGGAATACACACATTGCATGCTGCCTTGGCCTTGTGCATGTTTTATTGGCCCTCTAATTAATTTGTTTTTTTTTCCTATTCAGGGATTGGTTACCTTTTCAAGACTGGAGACCCTTCATGACCACAAGCTGCCGTTTGCGCACAAAGTTGATCATTGCCCAGACCTCCTTTCAGCAATCAGGGTGAGTAGCGTTTGTCCTTTTTTTGGGATGTCTGTTAAAAAACTGGAAGGATACAAAAAAGATTAGCATGGCCCCTGCACAAGGGTCCATTTCATTTTTATTTACAATAATTATAAGACACAAAGGTTCAAGACGTCTGTCACCGTTCGATCCGTGAGTCTGTGCCTCGTTCCCCTGATTTCACGCTTTCCATGTTATCTACACTAAACGTGCACCATCTTTCTCAAGTTCTCCCAAAAAAAAAAAAAAAAAAAGTTTTCGACTTATCAAGTTCTCAAAGCCGGGGTTCTTTCAAAAGAAAACGAAAAAAAACACACTCCATCCTTCAGATTCCTTCTCCCTCCAAAAGGAGATTTTAAAACTCAACCAAATATTGTTGTTTGGTTAAACTGACCCGTAGTATATATTGTTGATGGCCTAGTTTTTTGTTCATCCTCTTTTCCGGAATTTGTGAGATGGGTGCTCGGATACCCGCATGGCAACCCGACACCGATGTCTTATGTGTTGGTGCGGGAATGCGATCGGCATCGGGTTAACCAAGGGTAAGACCTTTGGTTAAGCCATTGGTGTTGGGTTGGCAGGAGGTGCGGGTTGATGGGAAAAGATTAGTCAAGGGTGAAGATGGTGGGTGATGGGCGGGTAGTACAACACGATCATGAGATCAAGTCCGGGAACGATGTGAAAACAAGATCATGAGATGAAGTCCATACAACGGCATGAACATTATCGATGAGGTAAGGTAAATGCAAGGAAAATGAGCAATAGCGAGATAACAATGTCCAGAATACACAATCACATTGAAGGCCAGATAGTAGCACAGTGTCCAGAAAGCAGAAATGCACCAATATAACACCAATG